CCCCAACTCACCTCGGCGTGCCTAACGGATCACAGACAAACAGGGAACATCATCTCTCAACACGTGTGGCGTCTCCTCTGCCCCCCAATTGCAGAAATCAGGGTACCCCGGGCGGAAGCGTCGGCCGCTGCCAGCATGCAGCGTGCCAACCCGCCACCGGGCTCAAGGGACCCACTTCATCACGGCGAGGGCCGGGGGGGGACACAGCGAGCCGGGCCCCAGCGCTCCAGGCACGATTGCATTGAAACTTGACGTGTGGAGGTTAGAACAAGAGGATTCCCTCCTCCTCCTCGAGGCTGAAATCGAGGATGTTTAGGGACAGCGCATCTGTGTGTGCCAGCACTTCGCTGTTCGTTGGGGACAGGCAGCTGGAGACTAGCCCCCTGCTCAGCGAGAGCTGGAAACCCTCTTTTTTGGGGTTATTCCTTTATTTCAGTTACTCTTAAAGGAGCCCCTTTCCAACCCTGAGGATGTCTTTGAAAAGAGATGTAGGAGTGAGCATGTTCAGAGGGTAAGAAGTGGATTATATTAACAGTAACAGCTGGCACATCAGGCAGCATCTGCAGCCAGATTACTGCTTTAGGCACTTATAAATAGAAACATGGATAACCACCCTGAGGATATTTTATAACCGCTCTGAGGTATTTTAAAACCATTATTTTAGTCAGAGGTAGAATTATTGCCTTGAAACCGTTTTTAGTGGGGCAGATTTGAGTCGGCTTACATCAGCTTTGCTTTTTACTACAAGTCACATCAACAAGGTCCACGGCTCCTGGATGCACACACCTTCCTGGCCACCACCGAAACAGGGTGACACAGCAGTTTGGAGATGACAAACGTGAGCATATTGTTAGGAAGCATTACAGCAAAGAAAACCTTGCAACCCAGCAGGCTCAATGGCAAACCGTACTCTTATAAAGCATTCACGCCTAAATTAATTACCCTGTGTCCTCACCGCCTGTATTTTGCAGAAGAACATACGGGGTCACATTCCTCTGAGTCTGGGTAACGCTTAAAGCAAATAACACACCGTTGAGGAGCAGCCCAGCACTCTCGCTCCGTCTTCCAGAGCCTGGCAGCACGACTCTGAATGGGGACTTTGTGCTCCCCCAGCTGCTGGCACACAGTCCCCAGTGACACTGCTGCTTGGGACACGGATGCTGCCAGCTCTCTGCACAGGGCCGCTGCCCGCTCAAGGCGTCACCCTGAGGGCAGGCACAGGTACGGCCCCGACCCCACTACGCAGGGGAAAGCGATGGGACTAAACACCCACCCCTGCTTCTCTGCAGACCCTCTCTGAAGCGCTGCACACTGCGCTAGAGGAGCTGTCACACCTCTCACCCGCACCCCTACGACACTGCCGAGCCTCACGACACTCGGGCCTTTTCCCCCAGAGACTCACTGAGCCCGAGACGCGTGCGGCACGTGCAGAGGCATGCGCCGGACCCAAGGCGGGAGAGCGAACAGGGGTCTCACCAATCCGCTTTTCCAGGTCTGCGGCCTCACTTGGAGTGGCTCTGGGCAGGATACCTGGGTCTCGGAAGCTTGTCTGGAGCAGGCAGCTGATGACAAAGAAGAAGAGGATGGCTGCAATGATGGGGATGGCCAGGGTGAGGTGACTGGCAAGGAACGGGCAGCTGGCAAAAGAAAAGGAAACAGGCATTGTCACCAAACATCGCTACAGAACTGGCTATCAGCCGTCACGTACACACTGTGCACCATCACGGGGCGGGGGGGTGAAGGGCTGCTGCTTTCCAGAGACCTCTGCAACAGCAAGAGCCAGCCCAGAAAACACCAGAGTAGCACTGGGAAGGCAGGGTCTTCAGCACAAAGACGGCAGTACAAGCTGTTGTACACAGTCTCTTTGGCCTTCTGAAACGGTTTGGGTTGGAAGGGCCCTTAAAGATCATCCAGTTCCACCCCCCCTGCCATGGGCAGGGACACCTTTCACTAGACCAGGTTGCTCCAAGCCTCATCCAGCCTGGCCTTGGACACTTCCAGGGATGGGGCATCCACAGCTTCTCTGGGCAACCTGTCCCAGGGCCTCCCCACCCTCTCTGGGAAGAATTCCTTCTTGATGTCCCATCTCCATCTCCCTCTTTCCATCTAATCCCGTTACCCCTTGTTCTGTCACTCTCTGCCCTTAGGAAAAGCCTGCCCCAGCTTTCTTGTAGCCCCTTCAGGTACTGGTCCCAGATTCTCATTTTAAAAACCTGCCAGCTGCCCCAGAGCCCGGTCGCCTTCTGCAGCAGCACCATCAAGAGCACATGGAGAAACCCCCCAAGCTAAGCAGGGATCAAAATCAGCACGAACACGATCCTATTTGGTCCAACACGCGAAGCTGAGAGAGAACTTGGCTTCAATTCAACACAGCTTTCCTGTCTCTGGATGTCTCCTGTGCCCTTCACGGTGTGCCAGATGTTTGGACGGGGACACCTTCCAGCACTGACACCCGTGACGAGCCGCCAGGCACCTCAGCAGATGACGCTCGCTCGTGGGTTCGCTGTCCAAGGGCCTGGGGCTGTTCTTCCGCAGACCGTGCCCGGTGCGATCGCGCTCCACATCGGGGCAGCTCCGTTACTCACGGCACGACAGGTGAAGGCGGCCGAGGAGCACAGTGCCAACCCCTCCCTCGCTCCACAGAGGGATTTGCTATTATAAGCACCGATAAACACCCAGAGCCGAGCGCAGGCAGGCAAGCTGCTTGAGCCCTGATGTCTGCGGGCAGCGCTAAGTCTCAGTAAGGCTGAGAGGCAGTTTGAGAGGATTAAGCAACTTTCGTTTCCACCCCCCAGCTCAGCTGTCCAGAACAAAGCAGCCACCAAGCAACAAAACCCCTCTGGCCCAGGCTAACGCTGCTGCCGAGCCCCTCCGTCGTCAGAAAGGTCTCCGAAATTAAAAGATGTCATCCTGCTGTCCCCCCCTTTCCTGGGAGAACCTCTGGACTCCGCTTTCCCCCAGCAGGCAACAAGAAATGACAAAAAAGCCCCCACGGACATCGACACAGGAAAGACGCATTTGGTATTAATCTAGCGAACCGTAAGCCGTGCAACAGAAGCACGCTGCTAAAATAACAACTTGGAAAGCCCCAGGGCACCGAGAAAAAGTGACTAGGCAAAAAGGGAGGGGAGAGCAGATGTCCTCTGCTTGGCTGGGTACAAAGCAGTCACTGTGCTGGTGCTGCCCGTTAGTTTCGGGTGCAGCAGAAAAAAAAAGCTGTCGGAGAGGCACAGAGGATGCTAAGAAAAGAGTTTTCGTGTCGGGATGCCGTTACTGCCTCCCACAGCTGCCTGCCCCTTTCAGCTCATCTGACTTCTCAGAACCTCTAATCCGATCAAATACCTTCATCTCCCGGCCGGCAGCCCTGGGCAGCTTTCCTGAGACCCACAGGGATAACTGTGATCCAAAGGCAGGCGTGAACCCCCCCCAGGCTTTGCAGAGCAGCAGGAAAAAAAAGCTCCCTTCCCTGCCGAGACAGCAACGCAGAGGCAGGAGAGCAGAAGCCCTCGGAGGTGTCAGGAACCAGCGGGTGCTCCTTCCCCGGCTCCTCCGGGCAGCGTGGGACGTAACGGGGTGCTCTCGGCTGTCCCCTCCCTCGGGGTGCAGGAGTGGGAAGCTTCCCAGGGCCAGCTTTCCTAATGCAAAGGGGCTGGGATAGATGCAGCTCTGTCTTCCCCGGACACGGTGGCACAGTGGGGGCAGAGGTACAGAGCAGACCTTCAAGGTGGGACCCCAAAACGATTGCACCCATTTATCAAGCACCTTGAATGGAAACGCTGTTGCTGCTGCCTCTACAGACCAAGCCCACCAGTCCTGGGGGCTACCTGGCTGCAATTCTGGGCCAGTTCTCCCCTCAGCAGCAGAAGGCGTTGTGATACATCCCCCCCAAAACTAGAGGGGGTATTTAGAAACCAGAGGGACATCCTGGAAGGATGCTGAACCCCTTCCCGGGGCCAGACTGAGCAAACAAGGCCCAGGGCAGCCCCCCTGCCCACCCCCACAGAAGCACACCTGGGGACAGGCAAAGGGGAAGCTGTGGCCGCCTGCAAAGTGGGTCTGGGGGCTGCGCAGCTGGGGAATGGCTCGGGGGGTGCATTGGGGAAGAATGGGGGGATACCGGGGCACCCATGGGGGGTGGGAAGAGACATGTGTGT